TCAATTATCTCTCCAAAATCTTCAAGTTCCTTGTCCTATTTAGGAGAAGTAAAGGAGAGTTAGCATGTCCTGTGTACTGGTGACTGTTTAGTCCAAACACCTGAATGACATTCCCTGCAATGACATATAACTCTTCTGAAAAGAGTTGTGTTGTACTTTGTTTTTTGATGAAGCTTCATTTGAAACTATCCCTTGAAATTGAAAGCAATATGGCTTCCTTATTTATAGATTGATTTGATTTGAAAGCTGCCCAGATATTCAATCTAGTAGGATTTGTATCAAATATTATCAGAAAAATATTTTGCCCTGAATGTGTAAAGATTTATTACCGTATTTGCAAAGATTTTGAACATAAAAGATAGTGGAATCTTGTGATAGTTTTATTACAGTCCTAGCAATCAATATTACCTTTCTCCATTTGTCTTCTCATTCCTACTACAGTCTTGCTCAATCAGGTGCCTTCTGGATATAGGATATATTTTCACTTCCATGGTATCCAACACTACATGGGATCAGAATGCTCCACCAGACACCACCAGAATGGGAAGAATATCGTAAGCAATGAATCTCAGCATGGAGTATAATTGATAATAGTGTGCAAATAAACATCTGGTTCTCTTTAGTCTAAATACCATTCTGGTTGTGCCAGGACTACAGTGAGATTCTGTGTCTATTATATAATAGGAAGTGGTGGGTACATGCAATGGCACAAGCCTTTGTAGTTTATAAAATATTGGGATTCAGAACATTTTTTAAAAATATGAAATTCAGTTTCTTTAAAAAGAACAGTCACCAAGCGCAGTTCATGTCTATTGAAATTGCTGTAAACAACTCACTGTTTTAACATAAGTCCATTCATTGAAAGAATCCTATAAACAGGAGCCTTGTTCTGGGCTTCGAAATGCTTGGAATGTGCCTGTCACGTAATATGTGTGCCCATTTCAATGGGAACACATGTCTCATCAATTCTGTCTTAGCACATGCACACACCCCAAAGAAAAAGCTCCTAAGGAAACTTAACATTGTTGCTTGTGTAATACAAGCAAGCTTTGCTGTTTTATAAAGATCCATCCTTTTCTTGATAAAGCATTCATACAGAGCAGCTGTAAATTTAAACAAGTGAATTAATCTTCTTGATAAAAATGAACTTATGATCAAACAGAGATCAATCGTTTGGCAGGAGCCAGACAACAGTTTGTGTGATTAAAACCAGCTGGCGAAGTTTTGGAAGAAGTGACATTTTAACTATGGACTCTATTCAGCATTGCACTTCATATCATACATATGCTTCAGTATGACTTCAACATGGGAAAGACTAATTTTTTTATGTAGTGTGTGGGTGTGGGTGTACAGTTTTCAGAGTACATGTAAACTTGAGGGCTTTTTCCCCCCTCCCGGAAACTTCGGTATAGTCTCTTTCCTCCCCTCTCCACCCTGTTTAGAGCAGGTGGGAAGCCTCACAGTAGACAGCTAGTGTTTCCTTGTGGGTTGCTGTAATAAAGGACCTTTGTAAATGTCTCTTTATATGACCTGAATACAAACTGAACAGAATGCATATTAACTACTCCCAAGAACCATTTCATTTAGTTCAAGATCTTACCTGAATTGGCATTACTGTTTTCTAGCAGGATTCATGCACTTCTGGGAAATATAAAGCAATTGTAGACCTGGCTAACTAAAGGAGCAACTTTTCCATTATATTCATCTGCCATTAAAGTAGTTAAGATCTAGGGAAGAGGGTGCCCATTTGTCAATGAAAAGAGAGAGAGAGAGAATTCTTGATATAAGCATCTTTGTTGTAAACTAGACTCCATGATCAGTTATACTTGTAGCAATATAATACAGATAACAAATTAAGATACTGCTTAGCTTTATAATCTGGTTCAATATTTTCTTTAAGCAATGTATAAGTGTAAGGATTCCTTTTTAGTTTCATGCTTAATTGTTAGTGTTTAACTGTATGGTAAATTGCTTTACCATTACCTATCTAGCCAATTGTATTTAAGATTGAAAAATAGATAAATACATATAAATAATGTTTTTTTTTGCATGCCTCAGGAATCAATACGTTTGTTATTATATCGGTTTGAAGGCTGATAGATAATCGTCTGCCAATAACTTCTGCTGTGGAGTAAGAGCAAATTTAGAAGATTTAGAAAAAGAAAGGAAGATTGTATTGTGTAACACAGTACCAATATTTTCGGCCACTTAGTGACAGTCCATGGCTTATAAGTACATATGGATCAGTTTTTAATTTCATGATGAAATTGCTGAATTTGATTACAAGAAATCCTTGACTTACAACCATTCATTTAGTGACTGTTTGAAGGACTTGTGACTATTTTTCACACAACTGTTGTAGCATCCCCATGGTCATGTGATAAAAATTTGGCTACTTGGCAACTAGCTCGTATTTATGCCAGTTGAAGGGTCTCAGGGTCATGTGATCACCTTTTCCAATCTTCTGACAAGCAAAGTAAATGTGGAAGCCAGATTTACTTAACTGTGTTACAAACTTAACAACTGTAGTGATTCACTTAACAGTTGTGGCAAGAAAGGTTGTAAAATGGGGCAAAATTCGCTAAACAACTCTAGCAGTGGAAATATGGGGCTGAATTGTGGTTATAATTCAAGGACTGTAGTATAAAATATAAGAAAATTTTAGAGGATTTTTTCCCTCTGTTTTCTCAATTATAGTTTTGTGCATTAAAGGAAATCTAAATGAATTCAAACAATAATACATCATTTAATTTCATTGCCAGTTAAGCTGGAACATAAAGAATAAAGTTTTTTTAAAAATTTAGACTGCTTGAATTGTGGTTCTTCAATATTTGTAGCATATAATTTCAATACTTAAATTAATAAACACAAATGCTTTATTGAAAAGAGGTTTTGCATACTCTATTAATGCTTATTTTGTTCTGGCATATTACAAAATGAGTTCTGAATTGACTAGTCTAATCTGGGATAAACTGAACAGCAAAGTTATCTAAGCAGAGGTAAATATATTGATACATAGGTACAGATGTTCAGCTTCTAGATAAAAATGTGTAGCCTGCTACAAAATCCAATTTGTTAAACATCCAGTTTCATTGTTTATATTAACAAGTTAGCTAGCACATTTAGACTTACTTTGGAAAAAAGTGCACAGGATAAATGGTTTCTTAAAATCGAGAATTTAACAAATTTAAAACCATTCATAAAACTGATGAAATAAATTATTGTCCCCAAAATTAATCTACATTTGTCACTAGAAAAATGCCTTACCTAGATAATCCATCTACCAAACTCTGAAGTACACCAAGGATGATCTTAAGAGGAAAAGCAAGCTCCTCTGGAATTTTCTCCTAACAGGTGTTAAAAATCAGGTCCACATGTGAAGGTCCAATTAAACTGATTTATTATTAATCATGCCTATGCAAAAGAATCTTTTCAACTGCTTGGGGTTAGATAAGGGTCAATAGAATTCAAGGGAGGTTTTACTTTGTTAACTTGTGGCAATGTAGGGATTCTAGGCTGATCCCTCTTTTAACCCTTCCCGCGGGTTCTGCCATTCCTTCACCTACCTATACCTAACTTTAAGAAAGAGTTGTGAAGCATTATTAAAATTTAGATAATGACATTCATTGTGTGTTGTGTTCAGAATGCTCTTTGATTCATATGGAAATTAAATAAATTCAATTGGAGAATTTTTTTTACTTGATATACACTGTACCAAATTTGAAACACAAAAATTCTGTATACAGAGCAATATAATCCTTGGCCATCCAACATTAGCGAACAATAGCTGTGATTACAGTCAACTGGATTATGGCAGGAAAATATATATCAAGGCATAATCTGCAATCTAAGTGGCTTTTAATCAAATGCTAATTCACCAGAGTTCCAAAATCACACTTTATTACAAAGTTGATGCCAAAACAATAGTTTTAGAGTCATTACAGAAAAAAATATTAAATCTCTTTTTCTATTTTTGTCAGGATATACTTTTTTGGTTTTTTTTATCAGAATCTTACACATGCTTTTTCTCTCCAATAATTAATATAAAAATTATTTTGTCAGTATAAATTGTCCGTACTGTAAGGTATTTTGTTCTATATTTAGCTTAAAGAAAGAATTGGGATAGCTAACAGAAAGATTTTCTTAGCATCAGCAAACCGTTAACATTAGCCTTCTTATTTTCAAATTATCCAAACTGTTTACAATAAACGTTGATTCACAATAAACCTGTGGAGTTCTATAAAATAGTGATAGCAATATATATGTTTTTAAAGGTGTGAGAGAATAAAATATTAAGAATTTGGATGGATTTGAAAATTATAAATTTTAAAGTTTACGGTCAAGCAGGTATGATTAGTGAGACAAGTTTCCATGGTCATATTGTATGAACATATATTGTTTTCATGCATCTTCAACCAACAACCCAGGAAGCTATGCTAAACAACTTTGAAGTAACTCAATATTAATACAGCTTAAAACCGGCTTAATAACAGTTCCTTTTGAAAAAAAAAATTAATGACACTTTAATTAATGAATCTATAATCAGGGAAAATGGTCAGAAGTTAAAAAATAAAATAGAGAATTAATTAAAATGCAATTAAAATAAGTCCTGTGGGCTTTTATTTGTGTATCTAGCACGCAATTAGAGTTCATTATTCTATGGGAACATTTTGCTTCATTGTGCAATTGAGTACATTTGATAATTGGTAAATGTTTTCAATTTTTTTATTGAAATTTCAGTATGTTGAAAACTCTATGATAGGCCTTTGCTTAGCTAATAAAGTTTGGAACTCTCATTATCTGCAATTTTATCATTTGAGTATAGAACATATTAAGATTTGTAAAAGAAAACTGGCCGAATATCCCATCTCCAGTATTGCCCATAGTAAATTTATGTCAGTAGTTTTTTAAGAAGACAATTTATGAGAAATGCCAGAACGTTAGGATTGTTTGTGTTCCATCAATATGGAAAGACATAACTGAGCAAGTCTTTTCTTTTTTTGCAGATTCTGTCTTAAAGAAAGCACCGAAAAAATGTGGTGAATGAAAGCTTGTTGCATTTTCAGGGGGGAAACTTGTGGTAAGCAATTTTCATTTTACAATAGGGGTGTTTGCCGTTAATTAGCAACTATTATATACCGCTTCATAGTGCTTTACANAAAAAGTGGGCTGAAAAACTAGGCTTATACTTGAGTATATACAGTACATAAGCATAGGTCTTTACAGTATGTGTTTCATTTTTACTTTATCTTTATAACTCTCCAGCAGAAGTTGCCTCTACTACTTAGCTGGTTACTCTCCTCCTGATTATTATAAATTATTCTCATTTTTTAAAATTATGTCATCGATGTCAATGTTTTCTCAGGCAAAATAGGCAATCCCGGTAATTTTGCAGCAAATTTATTTCTTTGCTATATATAACTTAAGTGAATCAAAAAGAAACTCTCTCACAAAGCTGGTTGGTGTAATTCATCATTATTAGTACACATCATTATAGTAAAGCAACATGCTGTATCTGCTTCATAAAATTTGCCCAAACTACTTTGGAGCAGAGTTCCTTTGAGACCATGTATTTTACACAGGAATAATGACATTTCTACACAGATGTACCCTCTCTGCGGTCTTTTTCTGTCTGTGTGCTGTGACTAAGTTAAATCCGGTGTTTCTTTGTGGTTTTCACTTTGCCTCCTGTTCAGAGTTGGGTATGTCTAAGTCTACTACAATAACTTAGTTTATCATGCTCAACCATGCATTTAATAGTGGCATTGATTTTTTGCTTCCTTTGTAAACATCCTTGATTTCCTTTTTTCCCCCTTTTAGCTTCCTTTAATCTGTTCCATACCCGATCAGCACATGCACTTACAAATTCTGTTTGCACTCTCGCTCTGACCTTTCTAAGTCTGTGCTGTGTGCCAGCACAAATCTTTCCTTCCTTGTTCCAGTTTTCCTAAAGCTGTCTCAAAATTAAATTGGAACAAGTTTGCCCTTTTTATTATTATTATTAAACTGCTTATTGAAAAAGTATGCAGGATGACATAAGTACAATAAAAAGGTACCGGTACTACTCTCAAAGCAGATATTTTTAAATTAATGCTTGATTATCAAATTCACAAACTGATTATTTGCACAACTATTTTTTCTCTTGCATGGAAAAACTGGATGCAATTTTTTAAAAGGTGTATACATGATTTGCCTCTCTCAATCTTAGCTCTTTTACATATTTAGCTTCCTCAGATTCAGCTTTTTTTAAAGTTACTTATTGTCTTCTCGCTTTTATCTTGTAAAAGCATATAAATTACCTAATTGTAATAAATATACTGAATAAGATAAATTCTATGGTACTTTCAGCATAGTTTGTGTGTATCTGTGCACTCCTGCTAACATATATATTACTACAAGAGTAGTGAGCTATTTATATGGAAGCCTTGTTAGCATCTAGTGTGAAATTTATGATAAGAACCTGATTTACAGCTGAAAGGTTTTGGAGAGGACCCAAAGCATGTTAACTGGTTTAAAATTTGTCTCACTGAGTTTCAGTCTTTATACCCGATATAAAATTAATCCCAACCAACTCAATTTTTGCTAAAATAGAATTCTTTTTACATTACAAAATTGCTAGTGTGGATATAATATGGTAATAATTTTACTGTAAAAGGTACCATAACCTTCAAAAAAANTTCCTGGCAGTGAGCAGTGAGCTGGCCTGCAATACTGCATTCTAACCACTGCGCCACCATGACTCTATTTTCAAATCTATTTTTTCAACCATTTTTAGTTTAATTTGGTATATTGTAAACTATAATTTTACAAAGTTGGCCATTAAAACATTAGCAATATTTTCCTCTTTTTAATTTCTTTTGAATCTGAAAGAAATCTAGCAAAGCCTTCAGGCCAGGAATGCACTGGAAAATTTAATTTGTCAAACCAGCTTGTATGTACTGTGCTATGGCTTTTATAAAATACTTGGGGCTAAAATCTAAGGCATGGGTATATAATAAAGGCTTGCTTCAAAAAAAGCAAATTGATTACATCACCATGAAAACTCAGTTCAGTTAGGAGTTAAGAATAGTTATTTTTGATTCTGTAAGAAAAGCACATTGAAATGGTTTTATTTAGAAAACTTGGACTGACAGGCCATGACTACTTTTTGTTCTAGTTTTTTAAAATTAGTTTGATTCTTTTAATATTTATTCTTTGTTTTTGCTAGACTGGACTGTGACTTAAAGTACCTTGGCATTAATCCAAGTAGGGTTTGTGTTTATTTTTGTCCAGTAGTTTTCAAGTGTACTCACTGAATAAATTTGTTTAGTGGATAATGTGGGTGTAGTTTACATTTTCAAGTGATATTTTAAAAGCATCATTTGAAATGAAAACAGGTTCCAAGACAGGGTATTAGTGGGGCATGGTTATTTACTGAAATACAGTGTATGCTAAGAAGTAATCTGTTGGGCAACAGGAGGCAAGATGAAGTAAATTGACCTTTTCACCTCCATGGTGTTATCCATTGCCATCTCATCCAAAATCAGCAACAAATGCTTTTATTGGAGTCACACTTTTGACTCTCTTGCTACAGATTTGAACCTGAGAGTAAGTAAATGAAAAACTTCTATTTTTGTCTGTTCTCAATTCATTTTTAACATATGCCACTCAAGGTATATGTTTGAAAACTACATGTGCTTTCCTCCAGCTTTATTTCTGTAAAGTTGGAGGAACACTCATTTTATTTTTACATAAAAGGGCTTTATGCCTCAAGCTAGGATAGACAATTGCCATAATAAGTTTCACACTGTTCTGCAATATGCTTTATGTGAATGCCACCGATATTAAAAGATTAAATGCAGGGTACATCCACGCTGCTAAAACTTATTATTGCCTTAATTGCAGGATATATTTGAATATTTTTATGCATTGTTGAATATTCAGACCTGCTAATAAGTTTGGAATTTATGGGAAATATATATATATATTTTGTGATAAATGCATTCCTATCCCACTGCCTTCGTGTTTTTTTTTCTTTATTTCCTTTTCTTCCTTATTTAATCTCTTACATAATTCATGTACTTAGTGAAAAAATGGAATTTTAGAACTGATTATCAACCAGTTTGCTGACTTCAGATGAAGCAAACCCTAGAAAAGCACATTCAATTAAATGGGCTTGAATAATCCCATAATAGTAATCCCTTTCCAGACACATTTCTTGAAATTTATCATTTCCTTATTTATTTACAGTACATTGATTTAATGTAGTGGGCAGGGAGTCCATTAAATCCAAATACCCTGTCTTTTTACTTTCCTCTCCTAATGGTTAACTACAGAGATGCTCTTTCTTAGAGGAAGAAAAGCTCTGAGGAAGGCACCATAATAAAGACTGTTGAGTGTCCCTGTTTTATCTAGTTGCTTAGTAAGCAAGGAAGGATTGAGACTGGAGGAGGCTATGGAAAATGAATTGCCATTGCTGCACATAGACCATATCTTATTGTTTCACCCACTCAGTCAGTGGCTCTTGCCAACCACTGCTCTGACATATAACCTGTCCAATCTTTCTGTTTCCTTCCCAGCCTTGTTGTCACTCCTTCAGTTCACTACCTTGCCAGTCTGCATTTCCCATTCTCTTCCATAGCTCCCTTCTCCTTACCAGGAATTCACACATGAAATGTGGAATAATTCACTCTCTTGCCTGATTTTCCCTTCTTCACTTGGATCCCAAAATTTACACAGAAATATATGGCACTTTTTATGAGAACCTGTGGCTGCTGTCTGACTTTGCTTTTGTCAAACATATGGCATTTGTCATTTTGCAGAATTCCAGGAGAGGAAAGCCTCACTCTATTCAGAACTCAGTGGGAACACAACTTTTATAAATGACTATAACAAAAGTGTTAGTGCACTTCCTCTTTGCTTTTATTTTCAGACTTCCCATACTCAAGAAGGGAATCTCCTGGAATGTTGAGCCAGGCTTCCTCGGATTCCATTTCACCCAATGACTCTCTCGTGCGCCTAGGCATTTAAATAGGGAAGAAAGAACTAAAGGAGAGAAGCAAGGAGAGGTTGCATTAGAGGTAGAAAAGGCTACTGTGAACTCTGTGAGGTTGTTTTATCAGAGCAATTTAATTTTCCTAAATCCATAAAATCCACTCAGGAAGCACAATCCTGTCGCCACCCAGTCATTCTTGCATTTTGGGTAGCTGAAATAGGTCTTGTAGCTTCAGACACAGAAGCAAATAACCCCTTCCTTGATAAACCGAACAGATTCATTAAGAATACAGCCAAACATTAGCATAGTTTGTTTCAGGCCATGCCAAAAACTTTAAAGGAACTACTGATAGATCTCTAGTAGTTTCCTTGATTTAGAGACATAGAAATGACTTTCCCAAATATCCTAATGATTACATTATTTTAAAGATGACTCATGAAGTCAGTGCTTTAGCAATCAAAGTAGCAAATTGTTGATAAGGTGTAAATTTCCTAGACATACACAAATCATGTTCTGTCTCTTTCGGGAGCATGGATCTTGGAAATTGAACCCTAGATCCAAAGGTATTCCAAGATAATCCTGGAATAGAATCCTTCATAGAATCCTTCAGACTATAAGCCAGCAAATTCTGTGAATTCATTACCCTGATCCCTATGGAAAAAGACTTGCCTGAATATCTACATGATGTAAGGGTCTTTAACTTTCCTATGACCTCTCTGGCAATCTCTCATTTTGTAGCAAGTGCAAATGGAAAAGTGTGAAGTCACCATGATAGTTTCCAGTTGACCCAGAAAACCTTGATTCTCATAACTGAAGCAGCTGTGACCATAAAGTTCTCCTTGGGTTCTTCCCATCAGCCCTGACCTCTTTTGACAGGGAGGCCAATTTTATCCAGACCCAAGATGGCTCCCTGGAGAATGAGCATGGCAAACCTCAACTACTTTTTGCATTAATACTACCATTCAGGACAACTTATTTCCCTTACTCTTGTTTCTGATGCATTACACATTTAACAGCTTCACCCAAAGCTTGCTTCACCTGATGTAATGGGTAGTAAGAATAACCTTGAGGAACAGGAAGAAGATCTGTAACCATAACCAAAACAA